ATGGAGAGGGAGAGAGATAAAAAAAAAAAAGTCAGAAGGCAGAAAGAGAGAATACACGAATAGATTAGAAGAGAAAGGCCTGGAGAAGAATAGGAAGGGACTAAAATTGAAAACATTTATAATTATGCCCTTGATATCCCGGTGACACTTTCCGCCAATGTCAGGTCATTTATGAGGCGATAAAAGGTTAATCAAGTGGGAACAGATTGTCGCCTTTGATTGATAAATGCGGAAAAGTTGAGGGCGAGGGAGAGAAAGAGATGTGGGGGGGGGGGATAAAGAAAGAGTGAGAGAGAAAGAGACAGGGGATAAGGAAAGAGTGAGAGAAAGAGGAAAAGAGACGGAGGATAAAGAAAGAGTGAGAGAGAGAGAAAAAGAGACGGGGGATAAAGAAAGAGTGAGAGAGAGAGAAAAAGAGACGGAGGATAAAGAAAGAGTGAGAGAGAGAAAAAAGAGACGGGGGATAAAGAAAGAGAGAGAGAGAGGAGAAAAGAGACGAGGATAAAGAAAGAGTGAGAGAGAGAGAAGAGACGGGGATGAATGAGCAGACAGACACGCAAAGAGACGAAGACAGACAGACAGACACAGAAAGAGAGAAAACACGAGTAAAAATGAGGTCGTTGTTATTGCTTCCGAAGAGTGCCGCTGTTTATGCTATCATCAAGCGACCGAATGGCTGGCATTGGGATGTTGATTTTGCCTTGTTTTTATGAGGATGCAAATAAGGTACATTGACGGAGCCCCGACTGATTCAAATTTATTATAATTGTACCTTTTGAGAACGCTCTAGTCATTTTAATTACAATTTAGCCACACCCTTTAGTCCTTTCTGTCGAACTAAACAACACGTTAAATTCTTTTAAAAAATGGTACAAAAACCACACGTTAAATTCTTTTTTAAAATTATTCTATAGACGAATGAAAATTTTTGATAATTCTTGCTCTTAAACTTAATGGACCGATGGTCGTCATTTCACTCGTCCTTCTCTGTGGACTTTGTTCCTAGAAAGATATTCCAAGGCGGAGATTTGGCCAAAGTACTCTTGTTTCTTTTATTGCTTATACTTTCCTTATGATCCCCAACGCCCCGCCCATCTCTCTCTCTCTCTCTCTCTCTCTCTCTCTCTCTCTCTCTCTCTCTCTCTCTCTCTCTCTCTCTCTCTCTCTCTCTCTCTTCTCTTCTCTCTCTCTCTCTCTCTCTCTCTCCTCTCTCTCTCTCTCTCCTCTCTCTCTCTCTCTCTCTCTCTCTCTTCTCTCTCTCTCTCTCTCTCTCTCTCTCTCTCTCTCTCTCTCTTCTCTCTTCTCTCTCTCTCCCTCCTCTTCTCCTCCTTCCCTCTCTCTCTCTCTCTTCTCTCTCTCTCTCTCTCTCCTCTCTCTCTCTCTCTCTCTCTCTCTCTCTCTCTCTCTCTCTCTCTCTCTCTCTCTCTCTCTCTTTCTCTCTCTCTCTCTCTCTCTGTCACAATAACACAAGCACACACAAACGCGCGACGTATAGTCTAATTCTTATTCCACCAATTATTTTTACATCAATACTTTGACTGACCTTTCTGTTTCACCAATAATGATTTCCGAGGAAGGGACGTTTTTGCGAAATAAACGTTGCGTCCAGCTGATTTATAAAGCTTTTTGATATAGTGTGTTACTCCTGTACATTATTGGGAAGAATAAATACGCATAAAATTAAGTAGTTTAGAAATTTGTTTTATTATTTTCAAAGATACATAAATATGACCATTAAAGTCTCAACTAAAAAAAAAAAAAAAAAAAAATCAAGTGGTATTTCACTTTTGTTCAGTCAGATATAAATGTGTGAGTCCACTGAGCTGCTATTTTTTTCTACGGAATGAAAAATAAATAAATAAAAATGTTTTCCTGTAAAAACAGCTATACACGTTTGGGAATATTCGTTAATTTTTCTAGAGCTTCAAGTCGTTACACAATTATGCGAATTCCATAAGATGTTTTGTCTCTGTAAGCCTGATGTCTCTAAAGATACGATAAATTCCTTCCATATAAGAAAAAAATTATAATGAATAGATAAAAGTTATAATAAACAGTTACAACGAATGCCACTAAATAAACCAATGCATTATAAAATTGGTGCGTTGTTTAACATATGATCTTTGAGTTTCCTGGAAGGGTTAAAAACATATATGATAAACATTTAACAAATTCCATAGCATATGTAAAATGCTCGAATTTGAGTGATAGTAAATATGTGTTTTGGTTTCCATTCTTCGTTTGTACACGAATTTGCCAAAATAAAATCAGGCTTTTGATGTACAACTATTTGTACCTCTGGTTTAACCAGATTTTCTATTTATCAAAATCCTATTGAGTTGAGGCTTACGGTTGGAAGAAATATATATGCATATTTTCGTGGGTGAGGGGAAATCTCTC